GGAGTATGGAAGGAATTTGCCTTTATTTTTCATTTGTGCCAATATCGAAGAAAGCGGCACTTTATTTTGAGCCCATTATTCGACTAGGAGCTGCGGCTCTGGCGCAGGAGACAAACTTTCCCAGCCCGATCTCCCAACGCCAATGCCAGAGCCAAGCAGCCAGGGCGCCCCCCGCCCTCCGGGCACCTGGCGGGCGTGCCAGGCAGGAACAACCCGGTCCTGTCGCTGCGTCTGAAAGACCACGGTTTGTCTCATTTTCTAGGGAAGTGTGAACCGAAAAGAAAAAAAAAATCCCCTCCCAGGGCTCTCTTAGAGCTTCCAGAACTTAATTCAGTGTTAAATGGGTGTAATTTGGGAAACTCGTGCATTATTTCTTAATTTCTGGAGGGCGAGTTAGCGAGCGGCTGCGGCGGGCTGTGCGTGCGGCCAGCGGGGCGGGGCGGTGTGCGCCCGGCCAGGGGGGGGGGGGCGTCGGGAGCGCGCACCGGGAACGCGCCGCAGCGAGCGCTCCATTCACGTCTGACGTGGGGAAGGATGGGACGGGAGGCATTTGCATTTCATCGGGCTTCTGCTTTTCCACTTGGATGGCCGGGGAGGGGGGGATTCTGAAGCCTTATTTCTGAAGGGAGGCCTTGGGGGTTTTGGTGCAAATTGCATTGTCCAAGGAGTGTCTGCACCCCTCCCCCGACCCTGGGCAGCGGCCCGAGGCCTCTGGACGTTGCCCACCGGGTCTGCACCCTGACGGTGAACATCCTTGGTCTTCCGGGACCCCCTGTTCACTGTGACCTTGACGCGGCACCAGCCGGCTCTGGGCCTCAGTGTCCCCGTCTGTATATGGGTGAGCAGACAAGGCCAGGCGGCAGCCGTCTGGGCTTCCCTCCACCACAGCCCAGTACCCGGGCCTCCGACCCCCTCGGGTCCCTGTCTTTGTCCCCCAACTCTGAGAGTGGGCGCTCCCATGCCGAAAACCCTACCAACGCCTTCCCCACCAAACTCTCAGTCCCTGCGCTGCTGAACAGAAAAGCCCGGCCCGGAGGGCAGTGTTTGCCGATGAGTGGGGAAGACAGGATGCTCAGAGAAGGGCCCCCCAAGTTCCCAACCTGGTAACAGCCAAGGAGAAGAGGAAGGACAAGCTGACACCTGGGGGGGTACACTACTGAGGCGGGGTGCCAGGTCGGTCATCAAACAGAGCCCAAGCCCTGGTCATGTCTAGGCCAGTGCTCCCCGGGGGTAGGTCTGAGGGGCCCGGGGGTGTCCTCTATCTCCCCAAGGGGGTCACACAGGGAGAAGGGATCAGGTGTGCATGTGCCGGGAGGAGGGGGGGGGGAGGTAGGGAGGAGGAGATGGGACTGTCTCTTGCCAGGCCTGTGGGCCAAGAGCCACCCCACAGAGGCACCGTGAAGTCCCCAGCAGGGCATGGCTCCGGGCGGGCAGGGCACCCGCTCACCCTGCTCACTTTCACTGGTGCCAGGGTCCGGACCCCACCTCACAAAAGAGTGTCTAGGAAGTAAGGCCCCCCTGCTCTTAGGGGGTGACTGTTGTTCCAGGAATTTCCAGCTGGGCTGGGAAGAGCCTCTCTGGGGGAGCAGGGGATGGGGTTCTTGGTTCATTCCAAAGCCAGCACGAACCTTCTGTGTGAATCAGCTGGGGAGAAGCTGAAGCACCAGAGGCTGAGCCAACAGAGGTGGAGCACCCCCGAGAAGAGAGGTGATCCCTTTCGTCTGAGTGTCAGACGGGCCAGCGGGGTCTGTCCAGAGCTGATAAACAGAACAATGACTAGGAGTGAGACTCAAGAGGTCCTGACGTGCAGTGGCTCTCGGCCCTGTGTCTAAAGAACCACCTTGATCACCACCGGGCACTGGCTGGGCTCTAGACAGTGTGGCGCAGTGGTTAGGAGGGTTGCTACCTGAGTTATTTTCCATCCCCTGAGCCTTTTCTCAGCTGTCTGACAACCAGCAGTCGCCAGCTCCCAGGGCTGCTGGGAGGGTTCGCGAGACAACGGGCTCAGGGCTGTGTTCAGCACACACCGGGCACATGGGGGAGGGGGTGCCAGGCTCTTACCGTTAAGTGCAACCCTATTGCCCAACCTTGTGTCATGCAGACAATGAAGCAGCCGGGTCTGGTGTGCACTGGCTACCTCCCAGCCCCGAAGCAAGGACCTGGCCCTGCGGCTGTCCCCTCCCTCAGCAGGGCGGGAAAGGAGGGGAGCTGGCCCGAGTTTGACTGCTGGTCTTAGAGTTGGAAACCAGATTGTCCTGTCCAAACTACCCCTCCCTCTACCCACCCCACGCACAGGCCGTCCAAGCATCCAAGCTCCAAACCTGACCATCCTCCCCGGTCCCTGCCCACCCCAGCTACCGGAAGGCTCACTAGCCCGGTGGTGGAGGTGTTCAGCTCCCTTGCCCTGGCCCTGCTCCAGCTGCACCATCTCCCCCTGCTCTCTGGCCCAGCAGCCCACCCCTGCCACAGCCCACCTCCCAGAGCCCGTGGTCCACAGTCCCTCCTTCCGGCGGGCGGATCTGCCCCTTTGCCCACGGAGGGCCTCTGCCCAGAGCTCCTTCTGCCTTTCCCACCCTGGCTAACCCATGCCTGCTCGGACCAGGCTCCCCGCCAGCCCCTCCTCACGCCTCTGGGCCAGAGGCTCCCCACCTGCACCCCCACCACCTTGGCTTCCCCAAGGCAGAGCTCCAACCCCACTGACTTGTTGGGGGCCATTTTTTCACGAGCTGCCAAGGGCAGAACTAATGCCTTCAGCTGCAGACTTGGGGGCTCGCCGAGCTGGCTGAAGGGACAAGAAGGAAGGAGTGGATGGATGGACAGATGGTGGGAGACCGAGGGAGTGGCTCTCGGCCGTCTCCTGATGTCCCTGGGGCAGGCCTCTATCCCTTTCTCTCTCACAAAGGTCTGAGCGGCATGAGCCCTGCCCCCACCCCTCCTGTCCAGTCCAGCTGCCCATTGCTCCAGGCTGGGTGGTCGGAGAGTGGGGGTGGGACAGACATTCACACACAAACACACCACACACATTCTCACACACACACAGCTCCAAGCCAAACTGCTTCTCCTCCCCTTCCCAGGCAGGCAGTCCAGTACTTCCCAGATGCGACACAGCCAGGGATTCAGTGTGCTGGTGACATTCAAGGAAAGGCAGAAACCCCACCTAGGCTCTCGCCTGAGCTGTGAGGGGCAGTGGCGATCGGATGCGTCGAACTTTCTGGCCACCCCTTGTTCCACACTCCACCCCCCGCCAGGGCAGGCACAGCAAACGGCCTTTCTGGAGAGACGGAGCAGTCACACACCCAGGGGACAGTGGGGGGTACCCCCAAATTCTGGGCACCCCTGGCCATCGTGCGGACTGGCCTGGGCTGGCACCAGGACTCGAGGGTCATTCTGATTCTGGGTTTGAATAGCATTCCCCACCAAACCCCACAGCGTACCCACAGGTGAAAAGTCCCAGGGTTCCTGCAGGCTGCCTGCTTCCTGGCCACTCAGACCATCCGACAAGTGAGGGAGCGAGGGCTGGCGAAGGAACTCCCCTAGCCTGGGTCTGAACGGAGCCCAACTTGCTGGCTGCGCAGTATTTCAGTCACTGTCGGAGTGAGAGGCACAGGATGCCAGTGACCAAGGACGCCTTAGACACGCTGGGGTCCAGGCGCTCATTCTGAACTCTAGGAGTCCCAGAGAAGGGCAGGCAGCTGCCTGGGGCCGCACAGCCGGCCGCACACAGACCACAGCAACCTCCTGAGGTGGGAACCGCTCCCCTGCAAATTTACAGATGGGAAACCGAGGCTCAGAGAGGTCAAGCTGCCGCTCAAGGTCGCACAGCGGGGGAGAAGGGCTGGAGGACCCCGCTGCGATTCCTGGTGCAGGGCACTGGCTGCCCTTGGCATCCTGTCTGGGCTTCCTGGGCAGGAGCCATCACTAAGGCAAGGGATCAGAGAGGCTGCGAACGCAGGGCACACACGGAGGCTCACAGATACACTCCCAACGGCAGATTACATAACTCCCCTTCCCCGCCCCGGCGCCCCAGGGTGCCGCCGGGCCACCCACACAGAGAACCTGACCTTCGACCCGCTGCGGACCGGGTGGGCCCAACAACTGGCACCGGCGCTTTCCAAAGACATGACAGTTGTAGGCGCCAGGACGAGCTGGCTTTTTTCCCTCCTTTCTTGTTCCCTCTGGCTAGTAACAAATACTAATACTAATAATGATAATAATAATTAGAATAAATAAAACCTGAAGACGCTTGGGGTCTCGTTGCCATGGCAACCGCTGGAGCTAATGAGCTTCCGAGGCTGCCGCCGGCCACCCGGCTCCCGGCACGGGATCAATACTGAGTCGGTCCCGGGGGGGCGGTGGCTCCGCTGGGGCCACCCGGTGGGCGGGAAGCGAGGGGCACGCACTTGGAAGGGCGTTGCTGGCCGCCTGCCGGCCGCCCAGCTGGGACCCCCGGAACCGCCGAGTCTCCAGCATGGCTCCGGAACCCTATCAGGCGCGCACGGGGCTCCCGGCGCGCAAGCGGCTCCCAGCTCCCTGCGCTCCCGGACTCGGTCATCGGACTCCGGTCCCGCCTCGGACGCGGATTCCAGCCCCAGCAGCCGCGTCCTGACACGCTGTGCCCCGGACTGCTCCTCCGGCCGGCCCCGTCCTCTCCAGGCTCAGCGACCCCGACCTCGGTGAACCCTGGTGCCGACCCCAATGCTAAGGCACCGACACGGCTTCTGCGCCCAGGTTCTCTTCCTGGGCGTCCCCAGCCCCTTTTCAAAGCACCCGGACCTCCAACGCACCGAACCGGCCTCTCCCAGCGCGCCCACTCCTCCCGCTCCGGGCGCCCGCACCCCTTCTCAGGAGCTAGGGCGCTGAAGACCCCGCCTCCAACTCACTGGGACCCTCCTCCGCCAGGAGCTCCGCCCCCCCGGCCCCTTTCTCAAAGCGCCGGGACCCCGGCCGGCGCACCCCTCCCCCGCGTAGCCCCTGCCGGGCCCTCCCGGGGCGCGGCTCACCTCGTGCCCGCTGCCGCTCGCTCCTTGCTCCGCCACTGGGAGCCGCGCCTGCGGGGCTGAGCCGCCTGCTGGGGCCCGGGGCCGCCCACGCCCCCGCCGTGCCGCCGCTGCCGCAACAGTTGTCCAGACTCCGGGGGCTACGGGCACTCGGGGGCTCCGGGCCGGCGCCGGAAAGGTGCCCGCTCCTGGGCGCGCGGGGCGCGGCGCGGAGCTGGGGCTCCGGCTCGGGCTGGGGCTCCGGCTGGTAGTCCGGCCGCCGGCCGCATGCCCCTTCGCCCGCCCGCCCGCGGCTACTGGGCGGCCCGCGCCGCCCGCCCGCCCGCCGGCCCCGCGCCCCGCGCCGCGCCCGCTGCCGCCGCGCTCATGCTCGCCGGGCCCTGCGCTCGCCGCCGCCGCCGCCGCCACTTCGCTCTTTGCCGCTCGTCGCTCGCTGGCTCGCTCGCGCCCTCTCTGCTGCCCCCTCTCCGAGCTCGTGGCTCCCAGCCGGCCGGCCCGCCAGCTCCCCCTCTCCTGCGCGGCGGCCTGCCCCCCTTCTCATTTTTTTTTTCTTTCGGAATCTTTCCTTCCCTCGCGCGCGCTCTCTCCCCCTTTGTTTCTCTTAATGCGTCTTCGGCGATCTCTCTTCTCATTCCTTCTGTCCGTCCCCCTCAGTATCTGTGCTCCTTCCTGCCTGGCCTCGTTCACTCCTTCCTGTCTACTTTTCCTCCTCTCCTCCCTCTTTCCCTCCCTTTGCCCTGCTCTCTCCTTTGTTCATTCATTTTTCCTTTCTCTCTCCTTCCCTTCTTCTCTCCTCCTCTCCCGGGCCGGCTTTGATTCTGTCTCCCCAGGCCCACCACCTGCTCACCTGCCAGGCCGGATTCCAGGCGCTCTCCAGCCCCCCTGCATCCTGCCGGGAGGGCCCCACCGCACTTCGCCTCCCCCAGCTGTGACTGTCAAGCCAAGACCCTGCTGGAGGTCAGTGTGAGGATCAATTAGGATGGTCCTAGCAGAAAGCAAGGTTTCTCTGGCCACAGCGGAGACTACTGGTTGACCCCCCTCCTATTCAGCCTCCTTCTTCTCACCTCCCTCCCAGCAGCCCCTGTTCCTGTGGGCCCCCCATTTCACCCCTCACCTGCAGGACAAGGCTGTGCTAGACTCTGCGGCCTCAAGCTAGTGAGCCAACCTCAGTAAGCCTCAGTTTCCCCATGTCCCTCTGACCTCCAGTGTTTACGTGAAGAAGGCACCCAACTGAAGGGTAGGGGTGGGCACAGTGCCAGGGTGCCTTCTGCAGGAAACCTGCACCTGTGGGTGCCTCAGTTTCCCGTCTGCGACCAGAGAATCCATGCCCCTTCTCGCCTCCAGTGGATCTGGTTTGAGCAGGTGCTCTGGGCTGGACGTTGAAGCTACCCCAATGGACCAGACATGGACCCCGCCCCTGGGAACCGTCTTCAGCCAGGGACAGAGGGCACCTGTGAGCCCCTTAGCCGGCGAGGTCCAGGCTGCAGCCAAGGGCGTGGCTGTGGAGGGAGGTGGTGGTGTCCAAGGGCTTGTGGATTTGAAGCAAGGCGGCACTTTATCCCTAACCAGCCATGTGACTCTCGGCGCCGCAAACCTCCCCAAAGTCACTTTTCTTCTCTCAAGTGAAGGTCACAGCAGTGCCCAGCGCCTCACCGGATGTCGTGAGGGTTGAATGAGACAGGTTATGTGATGCACTCCCCCAACCCCTGCAAACCACGACCACCCCATGTCATGATGGGAACAGGATCCGAGAGGTTGAGACAGGCCAGAGGTCCCGGTGCTCTAGGAGCACCATCCTCTGAGCTCCCTGCTAGTGGAGGCTGTTTGGGGGTCACTGAGGCCGTGTACTGCGCACGCACGTGCGTGCGTGTGTGCACGTATGGTGTGTGTTCCGTTTGTGTGGTGTGTGTGTATCCCCATGTGTGCCCCCCCTCACATCACTGACCAGGGCTCTGTGCCTGTCCCAGGTTTGAGGGTGCTGGACACCCAGAGATGAGACGAGACTCACTGCCCGAAGAAGCTCACAGCCTGGGTGGGTGACACACGCCATGTCAAACCTCCGTCAGCACCCATTTTCTACAGGCTGAAACACAGTCACCCCTCCTGGCACCCGAGGCCCTGTTCCCCGCAGCCCAGCCTGCCTTCCCAGTCTGCTCTGCAGCCAGGTGCCTGAACTTGAGCCTCACCAAGCCCGCTAGTCACGGGGGCCCAGCTGGCCCCTACATGGACTCCTCACTCCCGTGATGCACCTGCTGGGGCTGGGCTGGCTGTCCTGCACCTCCACCTGCCCTATAGTCAGCCCCTCACCTGGACAAAGCTACTTTGCCTCCCTGAGCCTCAGTTTCCTCATCTGCAAAATGGGAAGCTTCCACCCACCTCCAACAAGACTGCATCAAACAGAAAACAGTCCAGCTGCTTCGCCCGAAATAAATGCACGCCTGGCACTTAGTAGGAAGTGATCGACGTCAGTTTCCCTTCTGTTCTTCCAGGAGGTCCCAGGTGGGCAGGAGAAAGTGCCCACCTTTGGAACTGGTCAGACTTGGAGTCTGTACTCAGCTTGGCCACTCACCAGCTGTGTGACCGTGGCAAGTTCATTCGCCCCTCCCCGCCCCGTGCACTGGTTTCCTGTGGCTGCCACAACCAGCGACCACAGACACGGTGGCTTCAACAACACCCGTGTCTTGTCTCACAAACCCCAAATCAGTCTCTGGGCTGATGCCAAGGTGTCAGCGGGGCCGCCTCCCTTGGAGGTTCGAGCTACTGGTGGCTGTGGGCACCCTTGGCTTGCGGTCACTCCAGCCTTCAGGGCCAGCACCGTCCAGTGTCTCTGTCCCATCTGCACGTAGCCAACCTCTGTGTGTGCAGGGCTCCGGGGCTGCCTCTCGGGACACCTGTGGTTCGCTGAGGGCACGCCAGCTCACCCGGGGTGTTCTCCCATCTCGACATCCTTGGCTTCTGTGCAGGGCTCATTTCTTCTTGCCCTATGGGAAGCATCCCCAGGTCCAGGGATTCGGACAGGAGGATGACTGTCAGGGCGGGAGCGTCCTCGGCCCTCCACACTGTGTGCATCTGTGGAGCAGGCGCCGGAATCCGGGTGACAGGCAAATGCCCTGGTGTCTGTGGAGGCTTTAGCAGGTACATGTTGTCTCCACTCTGGGCTGGGCTGGGGGAACGGGGGGATGGGGGGCAGGTGATGACACAGACCGTCCTGGGAACCATTACCAGCTCCGATCGCATCCACTGTCGCCTCTAATCCGCTCCTATTTACTATCTCCCTGCCTTCGGGAGGCCTGCGCCCCCGCATGCTGGCTGCTCCCCGGCTGGGCGGCGGGCGGGGCGGGCAGCCTGCCGCTGACTCACTCGGTGAAGAGCAGCCTTTTCAAAGGGCTGGCTGGGGAGGAAGCTAAATTTAAAGCCAGGCTTCCCGAGAAGATCACCTGCCACGTCAAGAGCACTGCCGTTTGAGCCTCTGTGGGAGGGAGGGAGGCTCTTGGGGGCCAGGACCCTGGGTGGGCGTAGGGCAGAGGCCACGACCCCTGGCCTCCAGCCTCCAGGGCATCTTCTCGAAGAAGATGGGGACCCCTAAGTCCGTCCTCTGTCTTCAGTCTTAGGGTTTCAACCCCGCCCCACCCCCACTTCCTGCTGGCCACAGGCACCCCGCATCCCAGCGCCCGGCAGGCCCTGAGCCCCCTCCGGACATGAGGAACCAGGCCCGAGAGGTGTGCAAAGTCCTTGGCACAGACGCCCGTCGAGACTGAGGCCAGGCGGGCTCAGAGCTTCGCCCCGGCCCCCGGCCCCTCCCGTGGAGTGGGTGGGCCGTGGGAGAGTCACTCACCTCTTGGAGTTTGTTTCCTGATCTACCCACAGGGGATGGACGAAGTACCCAGGCTGCAGCTGCCACTTGGACCCCTGCTTACCCCGAGGAGAGAGGCCCTGAGCTGGGGAGACCGGGCCCAGGTCCCCTGGAGAGCGGAAGGAGCCCACCAGCCGCCAGGCCTCTGCCCCCAGCCCCCCGCCCCTGAGGGGTGAGGCCGGTTAGGTCACGGCCTCCTGTTCCCCTGTTGCTCCTGCTGTCCCACTGGCCACCGGAGCCACGTGTCACAGTAAAGCCATCGCGGACCTCTGGCTGCAGGTCAGGTCCCATGGGCAGCAGGGAAGTCCGGTGGTTAGGGACACTGGTCTGGAGCCAGGGCACTGAGCGTGCACCCACCCCACCCCCGCCGTGGCCTGGGCCTGCTCTCCCGGCCCAGGGCGGTGTGGGTCTCAGCTGCGCGGAGCCAGGCGCGCGGTGGATGTTCAGTACGTGGAAGCCTCAGCCATGGCCACTGATTTTGAATCCGTTCCAGAGGTTTGCGAGACCAGAGGTGACGAGCTGGTCGCTGGGCCCAGGAGGCCAGACGCGCTGTGGTGGTGGTTTGCCCGGGCCCAGGGCCTCCGCGGAGCCGCTTCTTCCCTGTCCCTCCCTGCCTTTCTCCGGACCACAAGACCTGAACACAGTTTCGATTCCAGCCCGGGCCGGAGGCCTGGCAGGACATCCACAGTCCTTGGAGCTGAGAGGGGACGGGGCTTCTGTCTGCATCAAAAGGCACATGCAAACCCAGCCTTCCCCCTGTGCTACCTGATGTCACAGTCAGTGACAAAAGGGCTTTGCAAATGTAATGATTATGAATCAGTTGACCTTAAGACAGATTGTCCTACCCACCTGACCTCATCACACGAGCCCTTTAACAGAGTTCTCTCCGGTGGCCGCAGAAGGAGGCAGTCAGAGAGGCCAGCGTGGGGAGGGCTTCCCCGCGGGCAGGCTGGTGCAGAGACGGAGGGGTCGCAGCACGAGGAGGTGAGAGAACCCTCCCAGCAACCCCCGGCATGAAGTGGGGACCTCAGTCCTACACCCGCCAGGAACGGCATCCTGCCCGCACCCTGAAGGGCCTGGAGAGGCCCAGGAGCCCGGCTTGGCTGATGACCGAGGACTCGCCCAGCCCGCCCGGCCTTCCGACCTCCAGGGCTGAGAGATGGTAAACAGC